TAGCTAATAGTTAGTGTATCTACATATCTAATTAGTAATGCATGGTATGTAACCAATATTTTCGACCGAAATCTGATAATTTACACCAATTTTAGACTGTCAAGTGACTAATTGCCCGTGTGGTACTAGTTTCAAAGTAATTTATAATTAGTTGGTTTTGACCGCAGAGTACTAGCATCACTATGGCACAATAGTAACAACGTCTGAATACAGACCACAGTCGTTAACGGCAATGCTAATACATATAACTATATGCTACTACTAAAAAAAATACTATGCCGGCAATTTTTCATTTCGGCTATTTCATCTTCATAAATACATTTGTATTTGGCCGACAGCCCTGACATTGCTCAGGGTCAGCTCGAAAAGCGCCACCACACTTCGAGCCCTATGCGGCGTATAAGGCTTGGTGTATGTGTGTGTTGATAGACGGCGGCGCAATTACTGGTTTGACGCTGGCTAAAAGTAGTATGCTTCTTAATATGCGACAGGTGATATATTAACAGCGTTCGTCTGTATGTTTGTGTGCGATAATGAATTAGCTTAACCCAGTGACATTCAGAAACAATAAAATGAAATAACTAAAAAAAATTATTTTTAAATATTTTGCTTGTAGGTAAATATTTTTTTTCACTTTTACAGGGCGCACGGAGGCAATCCTGTTACTCAGGTGTTGCTGCATTTCGGGATGAATGTATTATATGTACACCCATACATAGATCAATATTTACACTCGTGCACACTGCGCTCACCCTTTGCCGAATTTGTTCGCTTTTGTCTACGGTACACGTGGTGGCAAACATAAACAACAGCCGTCAACCAAATTAATTAGCCAAATGCAAAGCCACAAGAAAGAAAAAATACACAACAAGAGATTTAATAATAGAAGAGAACAACAACACAATTTAGAGTTTGGACTTTTTTCTTATTCTTGAGATTGTCATTTGAATTAGCCTTAATTGGCTTTAGGAATAACTGCTTTTTCAGGTATTGGAATTTACAGTTTGTTTATAGCCACGAATATTTTTCGGTTTTTGCTTAAATTTTGGTTGCAAGAAGGTATTTATGTTAATATAATGCGGCTTCACTTAATCAACCACAAGACAATTTATAGCATTTTGGCGTAATTACTAAAATACTCGTTAGAAAAAGTCATTTTACCCCAATTTTACCAATTTAGCTAATTATGTTGCCCAAAACGCACTGGAATTGTCCAATGAAGTGAGTGCGCAATGTCAATAAGTACTTATTATACTGTTATTTATTATGCCATATAATATTTGCAATATCGTTGTTTGCTCTAAATTAATTGCAAACAAACACAAAGGCAATTTAAATAGTTAAGTTGACCATTATGATAATATTTGCACAATTTATGCGTTGGAATGCACCGAGATTTGTGTATTAATGTGCAGTTAAATAAACAAGTACATACATACTAACCCCATTGAGAGCGCCCCTCGTGCATGGATGACAAAATGGATTGCCAAATCAATACACAATACAGACATAACATAATATATTAATTTACTTAGAAAATTATAGAGAGATCTGATGTTCTCTAAATTAAATATATTTTGCCCCAAAATACATAAGTATGTATGTTTGAAAGTAGATATATTTTTCATCTCATTAATGATTCAAGCAACTCACAGCAAGAATCAGCTCGTGGGGTCATGTTTGTACAAGGCCATTCACTAAAGTCTACTCTCTTCCAAAAAATTAATAAAAAGTAGTAAATAAGATTGCATATCTTAAGCAAGTTATAAATGCATTTAATTGGGCCCTCATTTTTAACAATGGAACATTAAATGTAAACTAGTAAAACTACCTTTAAGCCTGTTGTATGATATATTTTAAATTAAAATATGACAACCTACTAAATTACAACGGATTATATACTCCATATAATGAAGTCGGAACCTTTAGGGGGAGTATTGCATCGCACACCTCAAGAAATTGCTGAAACTAGCGAATAACAACAGTGCCTTTTATTTCCGACCCCTTAGTTGCACCTCAGTTCTAACACTAATTTCCTCAAAAAAAACTCGTTGACAATAGCTGTCGTCAAAATCGTCAGACAGGTGCGAATCGCACAAACTATTACAGCTGTTCAAACAAGCTGACAGCACATGCGATGCCACTTAGCACAAACATAGTCTCTGGCAAATGTACCCTTATGTTGCGCTACTGCATTTGATGATGGAATACTTCTTGTCACGTCAGATAATATTTTAGAAACTCCATAATTTTCAACAGCGTCCATGTCTTAAGTGCTCTTTACCTAATTATATATTCGAGTCTAAACTCTTTCAATTTCAGCCATTCACCATAGAAAAACTGGTCTAAAATATGTAAACAAAGGCATGCTTTTACCAGATATACGATTGTCTCTGTTAGCGAACTGTCATAAGTTCAATTTATGCAGTTGTTTTACGTTAGATTGTTTGTTTGTTTGTATCATGGTTAAAATATTTTTACTTATTAAAACTAATTCGCGATCTTAGTAAATTAGACTAGACTATAACAAAGTCAAAACATACTTACTTAAGCGCCAACTTAAATTGTTTAGCATATCAATCGAGGCTCTAGTATATATCTACATATACGAATGCTCGCTTTAATTATATTGTGTATAAATGTGAGTCGCAGATAAAGCTAAAAAGTGAAAAATTATTTCTCTACGTCTGTATTTTTTGTTGCTAGTGGTCATTTTCTTCTGTTCGCGGATTTGCTGCTATGCACAGTTATACTGTTTGTATTATTTGTATTTGTAAGTGTGTGTATGCGTGCTTGTGTTTGGTTAGGTGCGGCGTTTCGTGTTTCTGGTTCAAGTTTAGGGTCAATAACACTCGATAATATGAACTAGCGGCTGTTAAATACATGCAAACGTTCATATGCAATTGACTGACGTCGCAAATCACAAAACATTAATTCCCACTTGTCTATAATTTTACAAAATACTTATTAAGACACAACACACAAATTACACGCTTTTAACGGCTAATCGCTTTCTATTACTAATTAATGCTTTGCTAATTTGGTTCCTCCTACTAAGCTATAGTATCCATATATTTATTATTATACCCTGAATAGGGTATATTTAGTTTGCCATGAAGTTTGTAACACCCAAAAGGAAACGTTGTAGGCATCTTGAGGCGTCGCACTCACTTTTAAAGTAAATTTCGAGTTAAAATTTGTTTGGCCAAAAAACTATTTTTTTTGGTTTAAACTCTTCACATTTAAATAAAAATTACCGAATTTGAGTGTTTTTGACTCAAAATTTATTTTAACGCTTAAGGAAAGCATGTTGTCGTTTAAGACTTTTCTTTTAAACTCCACTTATGACCACAAAAAATGTTTAAGTTGATAACTTTCAATTGGCCAGAAAGAGGACTCTCCATAGCTTTTAGTAAACTTATCAACAAATTTTTATGAAATAAAAATTGTAACTCAAAATTTACTTTAAAAGTGAATGGGCCGTTTCTAGTTATTGAAAAAACTTTATTTTTTTCCAAAAATTTTCTTTTTTTATAATCGACAGATTTTCCTCAGGCTAAGCAAAACAAAAATTTTTGTCGCTCCACCCTAATACATATGTACTTTTATGTATGTTTTGTAGATTTTTTCTGATCAACTCTGCTTGTTCGTTTTTCCCCGAAGTGTGACAATTAAAACTGCACATAAGTCAAGTTGAAAAGGTTAGAAGCTTGCAACCCCGCTCTTTGCCTTTTCATGCATGTGTTTATGTATTTATGTGTCTAGACGACAATGACAACTATAATATCAAAGTAAAAATAAACGACTTAAAAATTTACAATCAAAAATTGCATAATACGAATAAAACAGCGCGAAGTTGGCGGAGCTTGCGAAACCGCATATTGCCCAATTGCCCCACTGCCCTGTGCCAGCTGTCATTGTATTAGCTAAGCATGAAGCTGGCTTCTAATAGCTGTGACATAGAAAGTCAATTCAAATGCAGTCAAGAGAAAACGAGATCCAAAACACTTAGAGATGTTCCGTAATTAACTCAACGTCAATATTTCAACAACTGCCTTATTCGTTGGCTTTGTGAGTGTGTCGGTACGATTATGCCATCAAAGGGGTAGACCTTCTTAAGCCTGCTTCATAACCGAAAAACGCTCCACGGTTTGCTATATAAAGAATCTTCTTTATATTTATCGAGAACTGTTATCGAAAGCTGTACCTGCGATACACTTGTAGTCACTAAAGCACGCCATTGGTCAATATTTAGAATGCCTTAACACATTTCAGGAGCCCTTCAATTAGAACTGTGGGCTCAAACAATATGCATTTTCGAAATCAATTTTCTCGATTTTCTCTCATCGCCTGTTTGGTTTATTTGTTTGAACGGCGCCTGTTAATGTCGGCTGCAACTGAAATAGGAAAAACACCATATCGATAAATGAAATTAAATATTCTATAAATGCGCTGAAGCGAAATGAAACCCAAAAACTTCTGACATGTGAAATATTTCGAAAAATCTTGACCCACTTTTTTCAAGAACAAGGCTATCGCGTTCGAAAGGAATAATTCTCGCAAAGGAAACGAAATACACAAAGTCATTACATAAAAATCAACAGTGTGTACAATAATTAAGTGGACCATGAGAAAATGAATTGCAGTGCTGCGAGCACAGTGCGTTAACTGTATTCGTGTATATACTTGTATATAATGGGTTCATATTGCTGTTTATATTATGCAGTTCAGTGAACTTGCGGCGACGACTTTCCAGAATGTGGAACTGTATTGCATTCATATAAATATGATACTATAAACCTTTGTATGTATAAGTATATATCTACAAATGTATGTATGTATATAAAAATCCTATATCATTACGCTGCGCATGCAGTGGGTGAATAAGTGAGGCATTTACAAAAAACTAGAAAAAGTTTAAATATAACCTCAATTTAAAAAATAGCCAACAGTTCATGGATTAAGTGTGAGGTGTAAAAATTAAAAAGCCAGGAGGATCCTCGAGTTGCATTCAATTTATTTTCATTTTTATTGTTTGCATTTTTTGCTTCACTAAAACCGCACAGCCGCCGCTTACTTAATCAACAGGCCGATTAACGATCGATACAGCCACAAGCACATATTAAGCACACCCTGTAGGAAAATAAAAATGTATGTGAAATGGTCTGGCAAATTGTTCCAAAACTTGAATCGCGCCTATAGAATCGCCTATAAAAAATCAGTAATTAAGGTTAGGTTGTGTCTGTTAAGTTGAAATCCGCTTAATGCCGCTGGAACAATTTGATACAAATTTATTATGCGATTTAGTTCACATTTGTAATACATAAATATTGAAAGGCGTCACACAAGATTGAATTGAACAATTTTTCGTATTAAAAAAGCAGAACCTTGAAATAATTTCGAACACCAAATCGAACCAATTTTGTAAAATTGTATTTTCCTACAGGGCATTCCATTTATTTAAAAAATATCAGAGTGCAGTAGAAGCTTGTCCTCCTTTATTGTTGTTATTCAATATTTTGTGTTTTCATTTTTTCCTGTCTTCAATTTTCGCCTGCAAAATAAGGCAAACAAAGTTAAAGGTTTAGCAAGGAAGGAGTATGAAAAATTGTATTAAATACACACCTCAATTAAGCTTTACTTGCTTTATTTTATTTTGCTTGACTTCACCTAGTTGAAATACAGTCAAGAGCAGTGTCAGCCACGACACACCGGAACCGCCTTGAACTCAAAAATCGAATTGGCGCTTGACAATTCACTGCTTATCAACATGAAGATAACGAAACTGTGATTCACTTCTACAACTGCTCATATAGCCACTATACATATATATTAATACTTGCTTGTACCACCGATAGTAAGCTAAAAGGAGATACGAATAAATAAGCTTAGCAAAACACAATGCAAAGTATAACAGAAGTAGCATAAATTTATCATAATAAGCGACATTCGAATACGAGAGCGGCACAAACAGCCTTGACAGCTTTTGGCCGAGCTCTCGCAATATTATAAATTAGTTTCTAAAAAAAACTTTAGAACTGTAAGTACACCTTTTTAGTAGGGTACCATACTTGTAAAGTTTATGAACCTCGAATTCCTGTACTATAAAAGGATTGCACTACATTCTTATCAATTAAAATGCTTTTTCCTCCAAACATTTCGTAGAGAACTATCAGGAACTAAGTACTTTAGAGCCTCTCATTTATAGTAGAAATTGTATTTGTTATAAATTGGAAAACAGTTTCGCTGTAATATTACAATTTTCCACACCAAAGAACTAGTCTAAAAACCTTTTCCTCAACAATAGTCAACACACCCAGTACTCTCGACTGATAGCCACTTACGGCAGACACTTTCGGCTGCATTTGGAAATATGTGGTTGCAAAAGGAAAACAGTAAAGCAAATCTTGATACTTTTGCAAATGTATCGAAAAGTTGGCAGCTGCCCAGAGTAACAAGCAAATACTAGGCAAACTTTCTAAAGATTTACCGCTATTCAGAAAAATGCTCCACAGCATTTTCTCTTGCTGACAGCTAAAAGTTTTCATTTTGACACTTTTCATAGACTTTTTCGTGGGGGTTATCATTATAAGTTTGTTGCGAAACTTTTTATTGCAACTGCAAGAAGATCTGTGCAATAGTATGGAAATCTTCAAGAAATTCCTGAAAAACATCACAATATCACTTTTCCATTTCCGATAGTCATTCAAAATTTTTTTTTTCATCTACAAAGCGAAAGCAATATAAAGCGCTGAAGTATTTAATGAGTCGCTGCAATAAAAAGGGCTAAAAGGCTTTCTTCGCCCACCAAAAACCAGTTACAATCAACCCACACACACACCTTTCCACAGTCTAACAACACAAATTTCTCTTTACGCTGAACTGACAATACAGGCATACAAATTTTTAGGTACAAATGTACAGTTGCAGTGACGAATAGTATGATAAATTGAAATTGGAGAAAGCTTCACTATAAAAAGTGCATTGTGCATAAGATACTACAGGTGAGCAAAACACAGTTTTTTTCAAGCAATATTCATTGATAGTACTCTACGGTACTTGAATGATTTCGAACAGACAAAGCAAGCATCTCTTGCAGATCAATTGGTAAAAGTTTTGAACTTTTGTTATTCAGCTTAAATTAGATTGAATATAAAGACTAGGTTACATAGCCTCCGCTTCTTAGTGAAGGTCCTGCAATGCGGTATACCATTGTAAACATGATGTCTTTTGACGCTCGATAACGAGTTTTCGAAGGAGCTGACGTTCACTTTATTGTTTCTGTCGAAACCAAGACCTTCTAGACGGTCCTTTATTAATAGTTTTCATTCACCAAAACTATTAAGCCAGTTGCGCATGAGCATCTGTGCGGAAAGCCGCCGTTATGAGTGTGCAAATAAACAATCGTACGCACACACAAACGCAAAACGAACGCGCCGCATAGTCACGCCAAAAATCACCAATTCATATAACCAGCACAAATCATTTGTAAACGGAAGCGAAACTACAATAATTGAAAACAAAAAGCGAAAAATCCGCAAATCAGCTGCAATCATGCCAACGGCAAAAACTACAACAGCAATAACAGCCGACTAAAGCGCAGGGAATTCTCGGACGGACATAGTAAACTAGCCGTAAATAGTCGAAATTGGAAACGAGCGATTAAAGTGCTTGACCAGAGCAATGCGACTGATCAACGATTATAAACTCAAAAATGTTCACACACACACACGCGCACAGCATATGTGCATAAGCGTGTTGCAATGCCATGCAAGTTTGGAGAGGAGAATTGTGTGTGTGTGAGCGCGCTGAAAGTGTTGCATCGCCGCGGTGAGAGTCACTCAAAATGAGTGCGGCTTCCACAACAACACCACGCAACTCAATTTGAGTGGTGATCGCGCTTTTCTTTCGCGCGCTCATTTTACCTTTCTGCTTCGCTTAGCAGTCTTCACATGTGAAGCAATTCGGTGACTTTTTGTTTTTGGCGTTTTTTCGCGTTTTCTTTTCTTTCCTTTGCTTTCCAGCGTTTCGTCAACGCTATTGGGTTGTTGGCGTTATTGTTGTTTGCATAAATTGAAAGTGCACGCGCTGCAAATGGTTTAGTTTAGTTTGATTCCGCAAAGACATTCGACGCTTCGCCGGCTCCGAAACTGAGCCCAAGTTACCTTAATTGGCGTCGAATCAAAATACGACTTCGAGTGCTCTCGTGTTTTTTTTTTAAGTGGACGAATGATTTGGTATCGCAATCAGATTCTATAAATATTAATCGCGTTATTACCGGCATCTGAGTGCGTCATCTTGGCAATCAAGTTTAAATTCAGTTTAATTTGGTGTGTTTGCCTTTGTGCGTATACGAAATTTTAAAACAATAAATATTCCAGAATGGCTGCATCACATATAACCAATGAAGTAAGTGGCTTATGTGAGAGGTTTAACCAAAAACGGCTTTAAACCGAAAGTGAAAGTGCTTAACGATTGCCACAATTCAAAAGCAACTTCCCGTCTTACCAAAAAAGTGTTTGAGAAATTACTAAGTTTGCTTAAGGAATGCCTTAAATATTACGCTTTAATTTTAATACGAGACACCGCCTGAAAATAATACCAAATATGGCTTGATTGGTGCAAGAACCGGCAATCAAATGAAATTTCGGTGACAGCGTCTATTTCTATTCCATTTTTGGTTCATCCATTTATGGCTTGCCACTCTTTTAGTGCAACAAACCAGTAATGGATGTAGAAAATGTTGGAGTGTAGCAATATGCAAAACTACCGATCGATATAATTAATTAAGGCTTGAATGTTTTATGTAAATTTTAAAAATCTTTTAAGTTTGCGTTTTTCTTAGTTAGTTAGGTTATCCAAACCATATATTGCAATAACAACAACTATGAAAGTTCTTAGAAGCAGAGTGATCCTGAATCGTCGCAAAGACTGATTAACTCTTACTCTCAGCACAGATTTAAAAAAAAAGCTTTCAATAAATTCTTATGCTTACGAGTGTAGTCAATAAATCCAATCAAAAACTATTTCTATAAGCTTAGATACCCTTCACAAATACAAAAGGTTCCATGGAAGAACTTGATTCCGATCGTTTAGTTTGTATGACAGTGATTCCATAATTGTCTTAGACACTAACCAATGCCAAATTTCATTAAGATATCTCGTCAAATGAAAAAGTTTTCCATACAAGCACTTGATTCCGAAATGAGCAGCTTTTTAGTGAGAAAAGGTCAGGTGCTAAATTTCAGATCGGTATTTCAAAAACTGAGGGACTATATCGTATATATGCAGACAGACTGACGAACAGACGGATAGACAGACGGGCATGGCTAAATCGACTCAGCACATCATGCTGATCATTTATGTATATATTTTATAGGCTGTTAATTTCGTGGCAAACTTAATATACCCTGTTCTGAGTATAACAATCTGCTTGAAAGAATCTTTTGAAACATATCGACGAAAGAAGTGAAATATATTAAAACATATTTTTTAGCTCCAACTTCCGTTCTTATCTTAATATGAATATGTAGCACCAAACTATGATCCACTAGTACATAGTTGTGTAATTAAAGAGCTTTCATATATCATTTTCCGTTCACAATTTCACTTCCGGTATCCAAAACGGTAATGGATTCTTGATATCTTCAAATAAGCACTTACGGATTTTCGCACTTCCTTTAAAGAGACCGCAGCCACGAGTCTGTACTTGTAACACGACATCTTTAAAGCTTTCAGATGAAAGCTTATGCTCTTTTACCCAATAATATCTCAAGCAATATTTTGTGTACCTTGCGACGTTAACTTTAATATCCTCTTCAAATATTGGTCATTATATCAAGCAAATAAGCAAGCTCTTCGAGCTCAAAAGTTTAATGGGAGTTTAATATAACACTATTTCCCAAATTTCTCAAAAACTTATCAATTTTGGTGATTTCTTTCGTTTTCGCAAGTAAATCAACCGATTTTGACCCGGTTTGCGGCAAACGATGTGTTTTTCAAGGTTTAGAACTGATTAGTTTTTGGTGTTGACCGGTAAATTCGTTTGGAAGAAATTCGAAAAAAACGATTTTTAAAAATTTTTATTTTTGAGATTTCTCGAAATCTACTGGTCCAAACTTACACGAAATTCAAGTGCAATGAAACCCTTTGGAATGCCGTTTAGCTTATTCAAATCGGTTGAGCCGTTTAAGAGTTATAAGAGGTTCACATACATCCACACACACACACATACATCCGCACATACATACAGACATACGGACATCATCGTAGAAATGTTCGGGGAAGCTTCCTCGACCCTCAGAACGTCGAGATCTGTTGAGAACTCGATTTTTGCAAAATGGGGTGAAACCAAAAACTTCCCGATTTTTAGAAAATTTTCAATTTTCCTCCCCAAAAATAAAGTATGCAATATCTTAATTTTTGATCTGCAATGCTGACAAATGAGATTAAAGGGAATAAATCACATTTTTTTTATTTTAAGAAGCGAGATTCTACAAAAGAGTTTTAAACTACTAAGCTGATTTTATTTATATTTAATAAAGCCGCAGTGTGCTGGTTCGCATGCACTGCCAGCATATTTTGTGCCGATAAGCGACTTGTCGACAGTTTCCGCTGCTTTGGTTATACTTATTTCCGTTTTAGACAAGCGAGTGCGTCTGCTGGCAAAAAAGCTTATCGCTACCTGATCGCCCCATGAACGCGTTATACGCGTTATTTACAGTTATCTAGCGTGGAAGCAAAGCTATAATAACAAATATCATATTGTTGATCGATAGCGCTCATTACGCTTCACGGGCTCGACAGCTACAGCTTATTTATGTAATACACTTATAAATGCATTCAAATATTTATATAATCAC